GAGGGGTGGGGCCGCCCTGGGGAGGGGTGGGAATTTTAGGGGGCTGGGGGCGGCTCTGCGATTTGGAGGGGGGGGGGAACGGGACCGACCTCGGCCGGGTTTGGGGGTTGGTGGAGGTGAGGCCGGGCTCGAGTTTTGGGTGTGAGGGTGGGGGGGGTTTAGGGCCGCCCGGGGGCGGGGGTGGGGGGGGGGGGGGGGGGGGCCGCGGTCGGGGGGGGGGGGGGGGGGGGGGGGGGGGAGCGCGGGGGTCCCCCCGACGCCCCCCTCCCCGTGTCCCCTCGGCTTCGGGCCGGTGGCCGCGGGCGGCTGCGGGGACAGGGACGAGTGTCGCACGGCCGCCGTGTGCCACCACATGTGCCTCAACCACCACGGCGGCTTCACCTGCCACTGTCACCGCGGGTACGTCCTGCAGCCCGACGGGGTCACCTGCCGCCGCCGCCGCCACCGCCCGACCCCGCACGGGGGGCTCGGGGGGCTCCGCACCCCGCCCGGGACCCCGCACCGACCCCCGCACCGACCCCCGCACCAAGGGCTGCCCGGGACCCCTCATGAGACCCCGCCCGGGGGGCACCGGGGGTTGCCCGAGGGCTCCCGGCGGGGATGGAGACCCCGGGACGGGCCACGGGAGGTGGCAGGAGGAGGCGGAGGGGAGGATTCCCACCGGGATTCCCACCGGGATTCGCAGCGGGATTCGAGACCAGGCTGGCAGAGGGGTTTGCAGCGGGATTTGCACGAGGGTTTGAGTCCGGAGGAGCGCCGGGATTCCCGCGAGGAGGATTTCCACGAGGATTCCCACGAGGATTTGCCCCCGGGAAGGCAGCGGGAGCCGCGGCCGGAGCGGTCCCGGGGCTCGCCCGGGGACTCGTTCGAGGGTTTGCACCGGGATTTTCACGGCGATTCGAGTCCGGACGAGCGGCAGGATTTGCGCGAGGACCCGTGGCCGGGGAGGCGCCGGGGGTTGCGCGAGGATTCCCACGAGGATTCCCACGAGGATTTGCCCCCGGGAAGGCAGAGGGAGATGAGGCCGGAGCGGCCCCGGGGCTCGCCCGGGGACTCGCACCAGGATTCGCACCAGGATTCGAGCCCGGGCTGGCAGTGGGATTTGCACGAGGATTCCCACGAGGATTCGCCCCGCGGGAGGCAGCGGGAGCCGCGGCCAGCGTGGCACCGGGGCTGGCACGGGGGATCTCACCGGGACGCGCCTCGGGATTCGAGACGGGACGAGCCCCAGGGTTTGCACCGGGATTTCCTCGGGAATTCCCACGAGGATTTCCACCAGGATTCGCACCCGGACGGCGATCGGGGCTCGCGACCGCCTCGGCACCGGGGTTTGCACCGGGACTCCTCGCCCCGGGACTCTCCCGGGGGTTCGCACCGGGATTCCCGGGAGGATTGGCACCGGCACGGGGACCAGGGCTCGCCACCGCCCCGGCACCGGGATTCGCCCCCCCGGCGGGATTCCCGGGAGGATTCGCCCCGGGATTCCCACGAGGATTTGCCCCGCTCCCCTCTGGCCCCCCCCGCGTACGGTGACGCCCCCCCCGCCCCCCATTATGAGGATGAGGACCCCTATGGGGACCCCTACGCAGACCTGGGGGACCCCGACACCTACGGGGGTCCCTACGGGGGTCCGGCCCCCCCTTATAGGGGTGAGGACACTGAAACAGAGCCCTGGGACCCCGACATCTACGGGGACCCCTATATGGACCCCTACGAGGATGAAGACCCCGAGGGGAGGCCCTGGGACCCCGCCCTGCCCCCCTCGGACCCCTACAGGGAGGGGGACCCCGAGCCCGGGAGCCTCCGGAGGGGCAGGGACCCCCAAACCCGGCCCTGGGACCCCTATGGGGACCCTGAGGTGGACCCCTACGAGGATGGGGACCCCCAGATTGACCCCAGGGACCCCTATAGACTTGGGGACCCCCAGGTTGACCCCAGGGACCCCTATAGACTTGGGGACCCCCAGATGGAGCCCAGGGACCCCTATAGACTTGGGGACCCCCAGATGGAGCCCAGGGACTCCCACAGGACCTGGGACCCCCAGACTGACCTCAGGGACGCCCAAACCAGGCCCTGGGACCCCTATGGGGACCTCTACAGTGACGAGGACCCCCAAAATGACCCCGGGGACCCCTATGGAGCCCCAGAGCCCGAGGCCAAGCCCTGGGACCCCCAGAGGACTTGGGACCCCCAGAGTGACCCCAGGGACCCCCATAGAGCCAGCCCTCCCCCCGGGCCCTACAGGAACCCCCAACCCACCCCCTTCATCCCCCAGGACCCCCCGAGTGCCCCCCCAAGGGTCAGGGACCCCCTAACTGCCCCCCCTGTTACCCCCTCTAAATCCCAGTTGCCCCCAGTTACCCCCACAAGTGCTCCCCCCAGTCCCAGAGGCCCCCAGCATGTCCCAGTTATCC